GGTTGACAGTCTCTTAACTTAGAGCAGCCACAGCCATTAGAGTGTGGGTGGAGAGTTTGATAGTGACAGATACTGGACATCATTTCTCTAAAAGGCTGACCTTGAAAAAATCATAACATCAATAAAGGATACACAGCTCTAAAAGCTGTAAGATGTCAAACAGCATGTACCTTATGACACACTGATGTACAAGATTCCAAAATCTTACCCCTACAACTTCTGAAGCACTCTGTTAGAACAGAAGCCATGTTGAGAAATTGTGTGAGACACAGGTAGAAATTTTGATGCCAAAGAATGCTAATATGGGTAATCAGCCAAGTGTTTAAGTTCTGGTTAGCTTTTTGTCTTAGTATTGCAAAGCCTGTGTTTTAAGAACTGAGTGAATTTGCCAGTTTTTTTTATCCTTCTTGATGAGATCTTGAGAACAGTTAGGCACCTAGTAGGGAATTATTTTATATGTTCACTGAAATATTTAGGAATATGCTTTTTAAAGTCTGTGCCTTAATTCTGTTAAATATTATGAGGGGCCTTTCTTTTTTTCCAGAAGATGTCCCTGTATTTCAGTTGTCCACTGTTTGGGGTAGAACATGTCTCTTTACTAGATGAGATTGGTAGAAGACCACTCAGCAATTGAGATTCAGTATGGGATGATAGTAGGGCTTCACGGGTTATGTACTTCATTTTAGTGGTGCCACAGAGTGCTTCAAGCTAGATTATGGAAGTATTTGAGGTAGGCAGCTTTTCCTCTAAAAATCAGAAGCAATTGCTCTTGTGTGTCTCAGGTGGTCCAGTTGGGGGATCTTCATCAGAATAGTAACTAGTTAATTTTCTGATGGAGGAAAATTTATTTACTGTGAAGGAAAATAAATATGACTTGAAGGCTTTCTAGATGAATGGGAAATAGCGTTTCAGGACATAACACCTGTATGAAACTAAAAACATTTTTCTTCAAATGTAAAAGGATAGGCCAGGCAATGGACAAATAAGAACTACTTGTTTTTCTGAAAAATTTATGAAGACCAAATTTTTATGAGTTTATATATAAATATATAGGAGTTCTACAACCATACATATATATACAGCTATAAAAGTGTGTGTGTATATATATGGTACCTTTATTTATGAATATATATACAGAGAGCTGCATTCTGAAACACTGAAAATTAGAGATTTAAGGCTCTTTCTAAGACCCTTCTTTAGAAGATAAGCCCTCAGGGAAGAAAGGAGGTGTGTTCAGCTCTTCTCATAGAGCCTGGGGTCCTTTGCTGTGCTTTCAGAGCCTTCCTGATGCCAACAGTGTTACACAGGTTCTCCTCTGTTAAGCTGATATCAAGAGAAACAGACTCAGGGGAACCAATTGTGTTAGTTTAGGCTAATTCTGCTTTAGCAACATCTTGAGCACTGCTGATGAAAACTAAGAAGATTAAAGTCCACATAATCTGGGGATCTTTATGTAAGTGAAGTTCAAATTACCATAAGCTGTTTAAATCATTGATCTGAGGATCAGTAAGAAGGGAAGAATAACTTAAGCTCAAGCTGCAAATCCATGTCTTTGGGTCATTTTTTTTATTTTTTTAACTTTCACTTTTCCTTTTTTTTTTCCTTCCCCCCCTTTTTTTTTTCCTATTTCTTTTTAATAAAATACTTCAAGAATTCTTTAGTTTAAGAAAATTGGTTTTGTTCTACCTTCCTAGGGAAAAGGAGCTTTCAAAGGAGCTGCACAACTGTGTCTCTTACTCACTTAACATGTGGTTGCATTGGATTGATGGAGGCTATTAAATGCTGAAAGCCACTCATTATTTTAATGCTAGCATACTATTTCAATAAAGATTGCTTTTGAAATAGAAATCTGCATTAATGGCACTACCATTTTACTGACTGTGGATATTGCAGCTTCTGATTCTCAGTATCAATTAGAAATGGGGAAATAGATTTGTGGTGCTCAGTAGATATGCCCAGATCAGGAACGAGCTAGCAGGCTGGAAGTACCTTTGAGTTGCACAAGTTTTCACCCTATTTAATGGTTACAGACTTGTCACAATGTTTCTGTGGATTTTCTGACCATATGATGGCAGTAATTCTACTAACATTGTGTCCCTTTCTCTGTTGTCATTCATGGCTCCATGGCCAGGCTCAGGGATTTGAGGAGACATCTCTATGGGATGGGGTTTCAGTGCACATCTGCACTACTGACATCCTCCAGAATGGAGTGGTGCCATCCAATTTGCCTGTAGTGATAACCAAACCATGCCAGGGAATCATTGAAAAGAGTGGTGAAGCCATTTTAGGAGTGTTTTGAGACTGACTTGCAGTGCTCAGAACATTTTCAGGTATGGTTTTGTTAAAGTAGGAACTTAGCCTGAGCATATGGCAGGTGAATTTAGAGCTCAGGCCATAGCCATGTATTTAAAAGTGGCCAAATTGGTTTTCTGAAATACTGGATGTTGATAATATAATATATTTAATACTGTCACTCAGAGGAAATACATTGTTTTTTGTCATTAAAGTAGACCTTTTGAGGCTTTTTTCCAAGGGCTTGTCACAGATAATATTTGCCTGTGAAATGTTTTTATTACAATGAATGCAAGCTGGGAAGGTGGAGGATCTGGCCATCTGTAAGGACCTCCTGCACTACCAGCCAAGGGACCAGCCCCTACTCCAACTTTGCAGGCTGAGATGTTTTACTAATAAAGTGAAACTTCTAATTTAGGAAGAATGGGGTTTGTTTTTTTCCTTTCTAGATCTTGACTGCTGCTTTGAGATGAATTGCAGTGGATTACCATAATAATAATGTAACAGACTACCTAGATGTTGTTAATAAGGAACTTAATGAAATACTATTTCTGGAATGAATTTTAAATGAGCTCCTTTTTTCTGCAGCAAGTAGGATGAGTTGTATCAGGAAGTGCAGAGTTTTTCTGTCATAGATCAGTTAAAGCACCTCTGAACTATCAGGAAGGACTGTATAGTCTGATTACTCTCTGTATACCAACTAATTCTGAGTCACCATTTTCAAGTAGCAATTGAGTCAGCTTTTAAACTCTTAAGACTGTGAGTGGTAATATGTTATTACGGTGCTTTTCATACTTTAGTACAAGATTCTGTGTTTGAAAAGATGGTAATTTTGTGTGTTGAGTGCTGTGATATCAATGTAAAGCCCACTGATGTAACTGAAAATATTTTCTTTATTTGAAATTCAGAATTGCTGTATTTCCAGTACATGCATAGCCTATACATAAGCACTGTATCTCTTCCAGAGAGGAGGGTAGTTTTCCAAGAATACCACTTATTTCCTCCTCTCTGGGGAGCAGGGCGTGGCTGGTGGTACCAGGTGCTTCTTCCTGATAGTGGGCAGCAAAAGACTTGTGGGAGACAGTTCATCTCAAATTGGTCCTTTCTCAGGGTCAGGGTGGGACCCTCACAGGATGCCTGTACAGGAGTATGGGGAAGATGAAACTTCAGTGAGACTTACAAAGTGAATGTGCAGAATATTCTAAATAATCCATCTTCTAGTCTGCAGGCACTGGGTGGGAGAAAAAAGGGAATCTTGTTGTTTCATCTTAATTTAAATAATGTGCTTTTCTGGGTACATAAATCATATGCAAGTGTAGATTCCAATAGTTTGAATGTGGCTTCTTTTATAAACCTTTAAAAGTGGCCTATGTTATGATACTTCAGTTTCCTAAGCTGTTATTTTTTTGCATGATTTATATCTGGGTTTTGTTTAAAGGCTATAAAACAGCAGTGGTTTAGCATCCTTCAATCAAAAGCAACTTTACCATCCACCTCATATTTTTATTTTAAAGGATGTAAAATATTTTATGCAAAGATGTTTAAACACATTTTAAAATTAAAACAGACTAATTTTTGTTGTTTTATGAATCTTGAAGAGTCTGAAATTTTAGTTCCATTGGCCATGATGAGGATCTGTCCATGTGTGTAATCTGTGGTACCTTGCTTGATGTAACATGTTTTATTTACTGCATATTGAATAACTTTCAAAATATAAAAATGAACCCTCCATAAAATATAGTATCTTAATTTCCATTTTTTTTTAGTATGGCAGTGGGAGTTATTTATCTAAAGAAATATTAATCTGGTTTTATCTGTGGATCCTATAAACCAAAGCTAAGGAAAAATTTTATGTGGGAAAATTCTTTGTCCTTCCAAACTATGGCAGAATCAGTTTGTGTTGCATAAAAATTCAAATGGAACAGTAAATTGAAATAATATTTTAAAAGAATTATAATAATAGTTGTGATTTTTTTCACTGCTTATGCTAGCAACTTTAATTGTACTGAGTTAATTTTGTATGCCTTTCTTCATCATGGGAAAAGTGGTTAGATAGCTTGCTCTGATATTAAAGGAAGATAGTGTGTATGCAGCAAAATAATGGTCTTTCATTGCCTTTAAGGCCCATGAAAATATTTGTGTCTTGAATGCATTCTCAGCCACAACATACTGTTGTTTTGTTTCATGCTCTGCTTATATAGCTTCAATAGTAGCTAAACCTAAGCGTTAGTGCAGTTTAATTAAATTCCATATTCTCTTTTATACGACAGGTTCATCTTATGTCACTGGGCCAGCCCAGAAGGGAGTCTTTTTTTTGCAGTTTTCTTTCTGAGTTCTAAGTCAAAGCACATGGAAGACTGTGATTTGATTTAGCTTCTGAAAGTGCATGACAGATTCTTTTTTTTGTAAAACTGAAATAAAATAGACCTGTAGAAGTTTTGCCCATAGGATATTTTGTTTTAAGAAAATGGCTTTCTTTTGTAGGGTGTGAGCTAGAGCATGGCTTTAGTTCCTGTAGAATGTGTTCCTTATATAAATGTGTATTTTATTGCCAAAGCCATACGCTACATGGGTGTTATAAAGGCTGTTCATGCTAGTAGGCTCAGAAAGCAAATGCACAAGTGTCTAAGCCCAGAGGAATTACCACCCCCCATCTTATTAGTTCCTTTTCATATTTTAGTGTTGACCTTTCTGTTTTCTCTCACAAGGAATCTATCCCTGAAGCTGTCGAAGGAGGTGGAGCAAGGAGAAGCCAGGTACCCTCGTGTCAGCCAGCTGGCTGGCAGCCCATCTGTGGAGTGGCCTTTCACTGGTCTGGAAGAAGGTGGAGGCATTGAGTCTCTGCCCTTCAGACTGATGCTCCAAGACTGCACGGCTGTGAAGACATTGCTTCTGAAAATGAAGAGGGTTCTTCAAGAGGTAATCACCCACTTATTTGTCAGATTAATATATTTAAGCATTAATGAGCTAAGCAGCAGAAAAGGGTCAGCAAAGTTTATGGACTTGATGTCTTTTAATATGTCTTGAATACAAGAAATTGATGCAGAAGTATAAATAGTCATGCCTCAACATGGTGAAGGTCAGAAAGTTTCTGCTTCAGCAGAATTTAAATGATCCTGCTATCTTGGTGTCCAGAGTGTAATGCTTTTTTCTTGAGCTTTTACTGAAAAGGGGGACAGGGGAGGCCAGCTGCTTCAGGTCAGAAATACACTGTATTGTTTTCTTCCAGTATTTTAGAGCTTTTCAGTTTTCTTACTACAATTGTTACACATTATGAAGTTGCATGCAATTGATTTAGAGGAGAAATACAGAGATTAAAAAAAAACCCAAAAACTGTTAAGTAACAGTTCCAAAAGGTTACCAGTGTGAGTTTGTAAATGATTGCTGAAATCAAGAGTCCTAGCTTGTCCTGTCATGCTGTATTCTCTCTTGCTTCCCCTATAGACTGCTGGTGTTGCTTTGAAAATTTTCTTTTGTGTATGTCTCTAGAATTTTAGAGACAGACAAAGTTTGGAAACTTTGTTTTATATTTTCCAGCTGTGGAGCCTTTACTCAGGTATACGCTGTGAACTTTCATCCTCGTTGTTAACGAATTGCAGTTTGCATTACTTTGATCTATAAGAAAGTTTGTTTGTTTTTATCTATATAGTTCATAGAAATACAGAATAATTTATGGTCAGAGGACTCTCTGGAGGTCCATCTTCTCTACTCAAAACAAGACCGCCTCAGAAGAGGTTGTTCAGATCCTTGTGCACTTAAACTTTTGGTACCTTGATGGGATCTCTACATCATCTCTGGGTAACCATTCCAATATGTGACTACATCATTGTAACTTCTTTCCTGTAGATGGAAACAGAATTTCTCCTCTTGAAGCTTCATATAATAAAGACTAAAAATAAATAGGGGGGCTTTTATTGCTCATTTCCTGATGATCTGTATCTAAATTCAACTGACTGTTGTCCTATCTGAGAAGGTTTATCAAAGGTTTATCCATGGTAGCTTGCAATTAGTGTTCCTAAACAGTGTGTTTTTTGCTCATTGGCAAGCCCCAGGCTTTCCAGTTTGCTTCAGTTCACTGAAGCTTCATCAGAAGCTTGATTTGTGCTGTATGGATCCTTAATGCACTTCTGGGTTACTGAATCCAGAACTGGAATCATTAATTCTCCATTAGTTGCTTTTTATATAATGTGAGAATATAGAGTGAATTTAAAGGATTTGTAACTTAATTTTACTGGAAATAAATAACAAATATTACATGACATAGCAGTTCTAACATTCATGTGGTGATATTGGCAGCATTCTCTATTGCTTCTAGTGTGGATAAGTCTATAATGCTCAGAAAAGGTCTTTTAACTTAGAGTTCCATTAAACTTGTGTAAGAAACTACTGCTATTTTCTGTTTGGAAATACATTGTACCTTTCAGTACTTCATCTTTAAAAACATTCACCAGGTGATCTCCACAAAAGGAACATGAGGTATTTCATGTGACTCATGGGAATTTCATGTCCAGTTACTAATACCTCCTTTATGTAGCTCATTGATCTTATTTTTTCATCGCAGTCATTCACTCTTTTACTTATTTGTTCCTTTGTACTGTATCATTTTCCTCTCCCCAGCTGGCTGGGACACAGTGTGTGTCTGTAGTTTTGTTCTCTTGCCCTATGACATCAAAATGGCCTTTTCCTAATCCTACATTTGGATGTCCATATGTGCTGTAACTTACCTCAAAAGAACCCAGGTGGCTAATTGGAACAACCAAGGACATGACCTTAAAATATGTTGGAAATTTATATTGAAATGGCATCACTTGATTATCTTCAGAAATTCAGATATTTATACGTTTGTCACTTTCAACTTATTAGTGAAAGATTACAGGAAAATGTAATTCCATAAAACTGAAATTTTGCATTGAAGAATCTGATAAATAAGTCATGTGAGCATATTTAGCAGACAGTTTCCATGGAGAGGATCCCTTACTTCCATTGCAACTAGGTGTAATTTTTTCATCCAAAAATCACTTCTGCCCCAACCAATATTATAAATCAAACTCAGAACAGTACAGAACAAAAGACATAAAAGTTCTTTCCTTACCATGGAAAGCTCAGGCATTTTTAGGTGTAGTCAAACATAGTCTCTGTCAGTCTTTTATAGAATGGAAGTATTTTATGCTTGCAAGTGTGTAAAATAAGATTATATATTTATAATAGTAATATGTCATGTATTTTCATCCACTTCAACAATATAAACTACAAACTTCATGGGGAAAATTACACAGGTTACCAGAAAAAGAAGTTACAGTTTTATAGCTGATATTACCTATAGAAGAAGGAATTATAGTAGTGTGTACCTCTTTATTGAAAAATAACATGCTAATTGAGTTAAAATATTAGCCCTGTTATTCAGTGTAATCCTTCTTCTTAAGCACTGAGCACTGCTTCTAAGGAATAATTTAATTATGATCTGCCAAAATTTAATACTAGCTAGTAAAATATGAGGTTTTTTTGCTGCAGTTGCTTGTAATTGAAGAATCTAAATGGAAAAACTGCATACAATGTATGCTGTACTGTGCTGCAGACTTAGAGGCTTGTTATTAGTCTTATCTTGAAAAGGGAAATAGAAGGCATGGCAGTAACTCTCAAGATTGAGAATGTTATTTAGTAAAAAGCTAATGAATGATCGTTCAATTAAGAGAATTAATTACCATTTCACTTTCAGTGAAAAAGCCTTGAAAATGTCTACTGATAATTCTTTATGGGTTTGGCCATGCAAGGCTCACAAGGCAGATTGTTCCCCAATGTTTTGGAAAACCTCATTGAACAAAGCTGAATAGTCTGGAGGGTCGTGGCATGTGAGGAAATTCAGTCATTTTCCAAGTGCTCTGGAAGATCTCTCTCAATCTCATCTGCAACTTTTTCTCATGGATTTTTCCATTTCTGACAGACAAATCTGCCATGAATTGTGTAACCAAGGCTTGTGGGATGCATAATTTCACAAACAAGTACTACCAGAGTGTTACCCATATTACCCAGCATGGGCAGCTTGATAAAAGCCACTTCAGCACAGCAGACAATGCAAGATGTTTTGCAGCCTGTCCATGATGTCTTGGTCTCCCTTTTCTCTGCAGAGATGTTTATTTTGACTGTTTGGGTTTTGGTTTTTTCTTTTCTCGCTGTCTTTGTAGTACTGATCTTTTTGCCAGTAGTAACCCCTCTCATTTGAAAGAGGGAAGACAAGAAAATTAGGAGGTGGATGGATGAAATCTGGGAGCTTTGTCCACTGCTAAGAAATTGATTCTTTACCTTTTGACTTGAGACTGGCCTCTCTGCTCTGAATGCTTCTTCAATTAATCTGTCATTTGTTTTCTCCCCCATTGCAGGAGGAAAGTATCGAGTAATTGATGTTCTATACTTTCTATGTTTTATAATGTTTCTGGTAACTGACTGTGTTCAGCCAATGAGCTTCTGGAAACTAGACTAGCTTCACTCTCACTCATTACTATCAGCAATAATGAGTGTATAATGCCTCTTAACCAAGCAATATGTTGGCTATCCTGTACTCTTCCAGATGAGAATTAAATTATTTCCATCTGTTAACTTTTTTATGGCTTGAGTTATAGCTGGCTTAGGCAATATTGAAGTCTGGGTAATCGAGGGGACGTTTAAGGGTTTTGCCTTTTCTAAAATCTTAGATTGAACGTTTCAGGCACAAACATATGAGCAAAACTTGTATGGTTTTGGCTTTGTTCCTAGCAAGAGAAGGTCTTTATGCTGAAATAAACATAATGGAAAAATACAGTTGTATTGGGAAGGAATCCATTTAGTCAGTGATAATGGGGTTTTGTTCAACCCTTAGTTGTTGAGCTTGTTGATTAATTTTACTGAGCACCATAATAAAAAGAAAATCTTCAGGCTTGTGGTAAGAAATAAGGTCACATTTTCCATGTATTCTTTATGAAATACACAGTTTACCAGCTGCATAATTCTACTTTTAGGGATTTTTATGGGGCTATCAGAAGTGACCTTACTGGTTGCTAATCTAGAAAATTAAGATATGTTGTCTATGTTTGTGTAATTTGGAATATAAATTATTCAGCCCATGCTTTTTTTTGGAGCTCTGCAAAACACTATGCAGGCTATGGAGCTGTAGCTAATTGCTACAATTAGCAATAGGACTAAGTCACTTTGGACATATATTGCATACTGTGTTTTACTAATTAATCATTTATTTTACTGAGAGAAATTGCAGCTGCCTGTGGCTGTCATTAAAAGTTAATGTGTCCGATACAGTGTCTTTCGATTACAATTGGAAAAAAAACCAACCTCAAAAAAAAAGAGAAATGTGGAAAATTATGTCAAAATTGCTGTGAGACTGGCCATTAAGGTTGCCTGAGATTAGAGGGGCAGAGTGATACCACTCAGGCTGCAATTAGTCTGTCAGATATCCCTGGCTGCATTACTTCTCCCCATGCATCTTTCACCTCATCAGTAAAATAAGCATAATTATAGAGTCCCCTTTTATACACTTGCAGTCCACTGATGGAAAGTACTGAGAAAAAGCTAATTGCTGTTAGGATATTTTGTAGTCTGATTGCTGGTCAATATGGACTTGGCCTTAAACTATGGTTTTTACAGACATTAAAGCATTTCCTTCATGAAATGTATTAGATTTCTAATATTGTGTTAGCCACACTAGGAACCAATTGCAAATTTAATACACTGTAAAATACTGCAGGTTTTCTTCCTTTAAGTAACTTTGTAATTAACCACTGTAGCATTGCTGATTTATTCAACAACTCTGCATCTAGCACAATCCCTTTTTTCAAGTAATTCATGCTGGAAATTGGTAATTCCTTCATTTCATGGTATGTTGACACTGCATATACTCATAAATTTAACTAACTAATAATAAAAATGTACTAGATTTAGTAATAGGATTTAAATTTATCATGTTAAATTGGCTTTTTCACTAGGAAATATACATTGCCATACCCATGCCCAGCTGGTTGCAAAGCCACGCATGACACCCC